TCAACCCCAAGACACTGTCTAGTTACCATAAATAGAAGGTGTCACCAACCGAATTGGAAAAATTCGAAAGCAGGAGAAAACTAACACCGTCTTCAAACCAACGAAGAAAATATCGGAGTATATGAGATCGGCAAAAGACAACAGAGACCCACTCAAGTCAGCGGGAGTTTACAGGATTATATGTAACTGTGGTGAAGTCTATATCGGTCAGACGAAAAAAAGCATTGGCCCGCCTAGTCGAACACAAGCGGAGTTGCCGATTGGGACAGATCTCGAAGTCTGCAGTCGCTAAACATGCACTGTCAGATGGAAACAACAAGATCCTGTTCGAAAAGACCGAGACGCTAACAACATTGAATCAGTATTCAACAGGAATGTATTTTGAAGTCATAGAAAGACACAAACATCAAGAGAACTTTAACAGAAATTGAGAGAGAACATATTTACCAAAGATCTGGTACACAGCATTGAAAAGCGCCAAAACGAACCCAAATCGCGCGGAAAATATGCGCAAACCCGCTATTAGTGAATATCGCTGCAGTTGCAGTTGAAATGGTTGGAGATTATAACCAAAGAAGACCACGTCGAAACCCGAAAACCAACCAAAATACAATAAAGACTACTTTTCAAAAGGAATAGTCTTTGTAATTGGTTTAACATTTCAATTTTTTCGTACATTTTCATTCATTCCGGAATGAAATTTCGAATTTTAAATGTTCAAGAAAACTTCAATGAAATGAATGTGCAGCATATAAACGTCGAATTATCAAAATCTCAGAAAAAAATGGAGCTGTTATTCAATACACCATATTAACTTTCAATGAATTTTCGTCTCATATAAATTAATTACTCTATATTCTATTATTCCAATAGAGCACGACCAGTTGGTTTGATCAAATAAAAGATTAATATAAAGTAGAAAAAATCATAAAATTTGTTTTGTTGATATTTAAAGCAACTTTCTTAAAGTCCAATTGACAATCCAGTGATATGGAAATTTAAAACACTATCAGGAATTTGATGTGGATATCACAAAATTTCTAATTGGAATTTGGAAAAACATTATTTCAATAAAAAATTGAATCAATCGTTTGCATCCGACAAATGTTACTGAGCTCATCAATTGGTTAAAGACATTCAACAACAAAATAGTGTTAATATATTCGAGATCAATGAAGAACAAATGAAATGAAAATGAATTGAATGTTGAAGTTTTTAAAATTGATCGTGCGTTCAAGTTCTGTATTGTAACATCATTGATTACTTATATTTCATTCTGTTAGTGTACTGGTAACACACATAACCTTGAGACTGGTATTCGGTCATAACATCATCAAGATGAACTACTTTTCCCTAGGTGAGTTAGGTTCATAGATCAGAACAACATCGTCATTTATTTTGATAGAATTCTGTTCATTGAGCCATTTGCTTCTTCTAATTAGTCATAGCTTAGACTCACGTGACTAACGATGGCAGAATATATCGGCAATCTTCTGAGCTACCTTTCTAAATACATAACATTAAAAAATTCACCGCTAGTGCACACTTTTATCAGTACTACAGTAAATTCAGAAGTATACAGGGTGTAACACAAGTACGTTGAAATATTCAAGTGACATATTCATGAGACAATTTAAAGAAAAAAATCTATATGAACTTGTATCCAAAAATTTTGGAATTGATTTTTTGTTCGCTTTTTGAAAATAACTCTTGCAAAAAATAAGTTATTTGCACGAAATTCGGTACCCGGGGATTTTTTGACATGGGAAATCATAATTTCGTATTAATTTCCATGTAACATCTAGAAGGCGCTGCGAACGCTGTCATTATTTATTTCAAATTGCCCAACTTTTTTGACAGTAAACTTTTGGTACTTTTCATAAAAAAACCTAATTCCCACACCTTTTCCAAGTAAAAAAGGTACACCTCCTCAACAACGCTGGAGGTGATCGTTTTCGAGAGATTTACAATTTTCTATATCGATGCATATTACTTAGCTCCTAGGGCGCTAAGTGAAGTTGCTGAGAACATTACAAAAAATAAGTATGTGGTGGATCTCGTCTAAATAAACAACTTTTCCCATAAAATGTTTAACGAAGAATGATTCGTTTTCAAAATACAGATTGTCGAAATTTTTCAAAACATGGTAGGTTTTTGTCATAAGTTTTTTGCAATTTTAGTTATTTCCATCAAACTTTATACGCAGTATACCCTTACAAACTTTTTCTGAATCGAGCATTATCGAACTGCTTATTCAATCCAAATCAAAATAATTTGTCAGGTTTAAGTATTCAATTATAAAGTGCTACATTATTTATTAGAAAAATCAACATATAAAAATTGAACGAAACAACTATCACAACAACTGTTCCAAGTGAGGACCCCCAATACTAATACAAGCTTCTGGTCCCCTCTTCAAAGAATTCCGCACCCTTTGAAAAATGCCTGGAGTGTTTCTTATCGTTTCGCAGCAAGCTATGATGCGATCCCTCAACATTTCCTCATTTTCAATGGGGCAAGCATGAACTAGTGATTTCAGGTGTCCCCAAAATAAAAAATCGACGGGATTGAGGTCCGGTGACCTCGGAGGCCAATGCTCAGTGCATCCTCTTCCTATCCATCGTTGGAGATATGCTACGTCTGAAAAATGTGTTGCTATCACAGTAAAATGAACAGGAGCTCCATCGTGCATAAACCAAGAGTGATTTCGGAGACCATCTTCTATAAGTTGGGGAAGCTCGTGTTCCAAAAAATGTAGGCAAGCATCTCCATTCAAATGTAAGGGGAGAAAATAGGGCCCAATTAAATAATCCCCAATTATGCCTACCCATACATTAAAAGAGAATCTGTCTTGGAAATGAGTTTGCGTTATTGCATATGGGTTATCTTTCGCCCAGATGTGGTTGTTATGGAAGTTCATGATACCATTTCTTGAAAAATTAGCCTCATCTGTGAAAAGGATTTTCGATCATATTTGCCGATGTTGTTATTTGGAGCCATTGAGCAAATTCGATACGTGGTTGGAAATCACGTAGGGTTAATGATTCGACACAATGAATATGGTAAGGATATAATTGCTGTCCTTTTAAAATTTTGTAAACTGTCATGTGACTCACATTTAAAGTTTGACTGATTTTTCTTGTACTTGTCTCTGGATGTTCACTAATTCCTTCGAGAATCGCTTCCTCGAATTCTACAGTTCTTGTAGTACGTGGCCATCCTACTGCACAATTTGTTTCAAATCTTCCAGATTCGGAAACTCGCCGGAAAAGATTCGCAAATGTCGCTGCACAAGCAGTCACGCGTTGGGGATACCTTTCCTGATAGATGTGTCTGGCCTCGCTTGAATTTCCGTAAGCCAAGCCATATGCAAAAACCATATCAGCCATTTCAGCATTCCTAAAGTCGGGCATGGTACCAAAAAATCACTTTTTAAACTCCGAACTGTAAATTTGTCAATTAATAGTTAAAAATGTGACAGCAAACTTCTTTTTTTATAAACAAACTTTCATAGCTTACTGGATTTAATTAACTTAATTTGCAAGCGGAGAGTGGCAAAAATTATTGAAATCAAATTTGGCTATGCTATGCATCGATATAACCTCCAGCGTTGTTGAGGAGTTGTACCTATTTACTTGGAAAAGGTGTGGGAAATAGGTTTTTTCATGAAAAGTACCAAAAGTTTACTTTCAAAAAAGTTAGGTCAATTTGAAATAAATAATGACAGCGTACGCAACGCCCTCTGGATGTTATATGAAAATCAATACGAAATTATGATTTCCCACGTCAAAAAATCCCCGGTTACCAAATTTCGTGCAAATAACTTTTTTTTGCAAGAGTTATTTTCAAAAAGCGAACAAAAAAATTTCATACTTCTCCGAAACGAAGCATTTTCAGACACAAGTTCATATAGACTTTTTTTTTTAATTGTCTCCGGAATATGTCACTTGAATATTTTAAAGTACTTATGTTACACCCTGTATATAGAAACAATTTAAAAGCAACAAAAAGTTGCTACTACCATAACAGAATCTGCAAAAGTAAGGATACCATCAAAGAAACATGGCGATAAGTGAATGAGTTTCGGGGTAAAACTCCCACTCTGACAAAGAATGTCACGTTCAATGGGAAGGTACCCTTCGTGGTATTAGCCAGGGAAGTTGTTGTTTTCTGATAGGTGTCAGTCCAATAACCTACAGTGTAGGGAGTCGAGACTGGCCTGAACGAATTGTTCTTTTACATGATTTGATTTATAACCAATCTTCGAGTATGCCCAGTGACTATGTGTGAAAAACAATTATTTAACATGATATCAATCTAACAGAGCTTATAGATACAATGAATCATATCAAAAATAAAACTTCTTGTTCAGAATATGTCCACCTTTTGGCTATGAACGACAACCCTCAAAAGTCGATACTTGTGGAAACTAAGCACTCACGAGGTCTTACCTTTTAACGTGTGATTTCTAACACGAGTTCGACGATAGCAAGTAAAAATCGATCATATCTGAGTGAGTGAACAAAGCACCCACGTCGAACCGACCGGCTACCGACCGATAACATATTGATAGCATCGATAACAGATCGATGAAAATAACCGCGAAAAAAAAAACAGTTTATTGTCTATCTACTCCTCCATCTTTGCACAAAAGTTATGGAACACTTCCAAAGGAAAGAAGGAAGCAACTGAGTTCTCCATAGTTTTTGTATAAAAATGGGAAAGTAGAAAGCTAAAAGGTTTTTTAAAGATTTCGAAATGTCATTGTTGCTTATCTAAAAACACTGATATTATTCAATAGACTACTTCTTTTTGAATGAAAATTCACATACATTTTGTTATCTTTTAACGATGCCAACTTTCTCAGCAAAATGCGCGTCATAAGACAGCATTTTCATTCTCCCGGTGAGAAGGTGTTTTCAACAGAAAGATACATTTTGTTTATCTATATCGAAATTGACTAGAAATGAATTCTATCAATTCTTTACCATTATTTACAGATATACCGACATGACCCCTGTGAGTTTTGTCTGTGCTTGGATGGTGAAATGTTCTGCTGGTGGCAAGACTGCCCGCCAGCCATGGAAGGACCTTGTAGAGACAAAGGACCTTTTTCAGCCTGCCGTAAGTTCAATAAAATTCTCCTCAAATCATTTTTCGAAAATTTTTCAATTCAACTACTGAATTCCATTTCATAAACATTTTCTCACAACTCGACATATGTTAGCAAAGATCCAAATCCGGACTGGCAGGTCGTCGTGAAAAAAAGTTGTAATGCCAAACGTTTTGTTTATTACTGCGACAGATATCATCAGTAGTGATACCAGCCCAAATTTTGTTCTTTCGTATCATGACTGGTCCTGAAATCCTATGTTCTCATTTGATATGTATTGTCATTTTAACTTTTCAAATAAGCTAACCTCTACCACTCATTCAGCAAATTAATGATTTTGAAACTTGATCACTAGAATATTTTCACAAGTTTTTGTATGTAATCACCACCAAATCTTCTTTCTCGAAAACACGATTTTCACAAGCTTTTGTGTATCGATAAACCTGTCGAAATATAAAAGATTTTGCATCACTAGAACAAGTAGATGTTATTAATGAACAAATTTCATATTCAGCTTTCACAAAAACCTCTTTTCACAAAGTATTTTTTTAATTCATGCATTTCTTACTTTCAGTTGCATTAGCAGCGCTTTCATTATTCAATTTTGTTTTGAAATATCGCAATTTGATTTCCCAATACTGAGACACTATTTCAATATTCAGGTATTAGAATTCCCATATTATTGTATGACTCTGGAGAGTACCACGTGAGCCATTGTTTACACAATTTTTCCATCATGAGATAAAAGACATAATTCCAAAACAGAAATGAAAAATAACCTTTCACGAAACAAATTTCAATTCAGGGATTATCAAAATTCTTACATATTTTTTCATTTTGTATATTTTACAAATATTGAAAATACAAAAAAAATATCAATCAAATACATACCTATAGAAATGGGTAGTGAGACGTCTACTTAGCCCTTATTTTGAAAATGATAATATTTATCCTCAGTATCCTCATCCAATGAGTTCCCAAGATTTTTCAATATTTTATTTATTTCGACTTATTTCGGCCTCTAATATGATTTTATCAGAAAATGAGATTTTCACTAAACAGTTGTCCGAATAAACGTTTGTTAAAATCGTACTTATCAACAAAGATCTGAACGGTGTCTTCATTTGAAGGGGAAAACACTATAGGAACACTCTGGAGGCTGAATGAAAAACTATCATTTCCTTTCAATCATTTTCCATTTTCAGGTTCTTTTTTGAATGGCTGTCACTAAATATCATTAGTTATAAGTAATTGAAGTTGGCTGTGGAATAAGATGAAAGAATATGAAAGTATTCATTTTTAGAAATTCAAGAAATGAGGGCAATTCAGTACTGCTGATGTATGCATATACATATAACCCACAATTCTTTTCCAATTTGGAACTTTGGCAAAATTAAAGATCTAGGTTAATGCAGAATCAATTAGCGGAGTTGAGAGTGTTTATTGAGGAATTTAATACGATCTCAAATTATATAGTTACGAAATATTCATTTTCACATCCCCTCTCCCACTTCCACCCCGCCCCTGACTCACAACGGTTTGTGTTGTCATCGTAGATTAGAATGCCATTAAGAGCTTACCAGTAATAATTCTCAGACATAATTCCGCAAATTTCAGTCTCTAGCACTTCCATCTCCATTGCTCATGATATTAAATACTTGAAAGATTGTCTCATTGATTCGGCCGTTACTTGAAGATCAATAGTAATTTCAACAAGTTTGTCGAGATCAAATCGTGAGGTTCAGTTTTTGAAAAAAAAAAATTGGACGCCGTTACCCTTTTGTATCCGTGAAATCGGCGAAACTCAACCTATACATTTGGCCAAACAATAAAAAATTATGTTTCAATATGTTCTTCCGAATAGGATTTTATTTTTGAGAACATGAAATCAAGAACTGACAATAAATATTTACTAGAAATCACTTTTCCCATAAAATTTCATCATCTCATTTCATAGCCCTCTTCATTGGGAAGTATTAGTGCCTATAGAGGCTTAATCAAATTAAAAAAATTCGACGATCAAATTCTTCAAGTTAAAATAATCATTTGGATCACCATATTGACCTCTTTCAACGAACTCTCATAGTAGAATTCCGCAAATAACTGTTATAAAACTAATGATATTCCAATTGATACCACAAAGGATATTGAATTGAATCTGTCAGATAATAGTCAGAGGTCATCATGGCGGTCATCTCCGCTGTAGACCATACATAGTGGGTTACCTAATACACAGGAAGGGTTAAATACCGCAGGGGAATCGATGAATTTAACCGAACAAGAGAAGCGTTTTGCTATGGTCTACCCTTCAATTATGAGAAGAATATATCCCAAAAGCAGCTGTAATATTTATCAAATCCTGCTGTGTACGAAAGACGAAATAGAGTAACTAGTTTTTCAAGTTTAATTTCAAAATAACTGATGGGAAATCGATTTTTTTTCTTGAATTCTTCTCTTGAGAAACATTATTCCTAGTCAATCGCCAGTCTTATTATTTTTCAGTCGATGTTGCATTTAGGGACCACTCCAGAAGGTCCTAGACAGAAATTAATTTTATAATTATAGTTTTTTTCCTGAAATAATATTTTTTCAATCAACTTTGACTATTATTTTCCAGTGACTGTTCCAACAAATCCCCAGTCTTCAGTTACATCATCGACATTAACCCCTGACGCTACAACAAAACTCCAATCAGGTAATTCAACTTCATTCCAGACAAAAACTGTGATACCGGAACAATCATCCAGTCGAACGGCCGATTATATAGAGCTTTCCACAGATGTATTCGTTTCCAGCGAACAAGCGGCAGATGTTGAAGTTTCTTCTGAACACCCAGAACTGAGTACATTCAACGAAATTAAACATTGTGTGGTTATGGGTGAGTACAAAACTGATCACTTTGATTTTCTCTCACCCTTCTGGATATAATTTGTAATTTACTTGTTATTTTTCCATATTCACTCTCACTCATTTTGTGTTTTCTAAATGTCTCCTAACTATACATTGTATCTGTCTTAGTTTCGATATTATTCATTAACTCCCCACTATTTTGCCTGCTATCCTACTCTTTCCAGATCAAAATCGCTACCCCAAATTGTAAAAAACAGAAATATCGATGTCCCAAATGACCAGTTGGGTAAAAACTTATCATACCCCAACCCTTTCAAAACTTATTTTATATGTCATTCATCAGTTACAATCTTATTAGGCTCATATATTTGAAATAATATGGTACTCCCAGCAAGCTTTATACCTCTTTTAAATTCTTGAGCATCTTCATTGATAATGATCGAAACCTATTCCAAAAGCCTTACCACTGTGCTGCATTGGATATTACATAATCTCGCTTCCAATCCTTTTTTCTAATTGATATCGTGCAACTCGCCGTTTCGAATCATAATGATGACAGCTGGTTTTATATGCTCGTTTGAGATCAGCGCAGACTTCCTAAAAAGGATATCTGAAGCCTAGGAGCATGCATGTGGATCGTTTGTATCGTGATTGAAGATGGAAGCTAAGAGAAGGCGATCTGCTCCAAACAAATGCAGTTCTCGCCCAAACATGAATAAATTGGTCGGTAATTTGTTGAGACACGGGACGTCTTGAAATATCCGTGGGATCTTTCTACCGGGTTTGTCTGAGCGTAGGAGTACTTGTGATGCACTGTTTGGAATCTTCGGTATAGTAATGAATATTACTGGAGTTTTATCTCATCACTAAAACTCTAGTAATATTCATAATATAATTTCAAATGATTTAGCCAGTTTCGGCTTCGGGATTCTACACCATTGTCCATAATCAGTATTTTCGAGCCCCCGAATAGGAGAATTTCATTTTCCTATATAATTGTCGTTATCATCGAAGGAGATAGCCTTCTGCGACGTGAACAACAATATACATTAGCTAAAGATGTCCAATACACATAAGTGTAGTTATAACCGTAGTCGGCACTGAGACAGGTGGAACGAGGTTGGATCTAGCGACTGATATCCTGCCACATTTTTGCACAATAACATTCAGCACCTAGTCGAGCTATGGTTTTATACACACCTAGATGACCACAGGTGGGAGGATTATAATACTTGTAGATGAGCTCCGATCTGTCGAAATTCTGGATAAGTTTGCATGTTCGAAAAAAACACCATTCTCAATCCGCCATTGGAGAAAATTCCTATGTGTGGCTTGTTACTCTGGGGCACATATTATTTATTGTACCATGTTTCTCTAGAATCTCTAGGCATTCCATTAGCATGGCCGGAAGATTCAGTTACGAATGGAAAAATATGTGCTGGAAGTTTTACACTAGGCGAATTTTCAGCATATTTTGTTATACAAAAAAAATAGACAGACAGTGCTACAAATTAATACACTTCATATAGATGTGCGCGGTTATTTCCTTCAATGCATGAAAACCTTGAAAAATGTGTTGGCTAGGCAGCTTTCACAGTGTTTTCCAGCGGTTGACTTGTTCACCAAATTGAAACGAACATAAATCACTGCTCATGACAAACTGTGTCAAAAATATTTTCGACAACAAATTAAATTTTGGTGCTTAATAATTTTGGGATATTTCACATAATTCAGAAATTTCACATTTGAAACTGTTTTTTGAGATACAATATCAAAATTTACTCAAATTATCATATTCTCAAGTAATTTGTTTGACAGTTATAGTTCTGCACTCATTTTAACTTATTGGAATTGATGCACTCGGGATATAACCTAAGATTATTTCAATACAGATGAAAATAAAAAAAAATGGAAGTTTTGGCTAACAAGTTACTGTTATCATTGAAAAGTCTACCAAATATCTAGAACCTTTCAAAAACGTATGATCCAAAACATGGCCTAGTGAATTAATTCCACTGTGTTTTATTTCAGTGTTAGTTCAAAAAAATTATTGGATCAATATCAAATGCATCTACAAAATTAGGACTACCAGGGTGATTTTTGACCGTTGTGATATTGGCGATTGAAAAACACTCAAAAGAAAAGCCGGTAATAATGCCTTCGTTAGCAACATCCAATACAAATAAATTATTGGAGCCTCTGGAGACATCCTACATTTTGTTTTATGAGAGAGAGGAAATTGGCAGATCAAGATCTTCAGATGATGTGGTGCTGCAGGTTTTTCCGGGTTTTCCTGCAGCTGAAAAAGCAAATGCGCCACTGGAATCAATGAAGTCGCCCCGAACGCCAATTAATTTTTGTTGTTGTTTTATAATTTCATGATATGCAATATCTTTTAAATACATTTTTTTAATATTTTTTATAGTTATTCATAAAATATGAAAAACCTAGTATTATATGATGTTACATTCCTGAAATATCCTAATATAATATAAATACTAGTATAAAGAGCTACAACAGATTTGTTCCAGCTGAAGTAAAAAAATAGTTTCAACTTTAGAAAATACAGGAAGTAATTCAATTAAATAAGTACCTACCTATAGAAATGGGTAGTGAGACGTCTACTTATCCCTCATTTTGAAAATGATAATCTTCATCTTCAGTATCCTCATCACCTTCATCCGTATGATCATAAACTTTGTCATCGTCTACAACGTCTTCATCCACAACCCCGTCATCATCACTATCAGAACATTGATCATCACTAAGTTCTTCATCACTATCACAGAAAGTAGAACGTTTCAGAATGCTTAGTACAAGTTCGTTGAATTGTGTTGTAACTTTTTTTATTATCTTTCTGTTATTTATCACAATAAGCTCCGAGGATACTTTCATCCTGTTGAATATGTCACTATTGGTGTCGATTCTGGAAGTTTTTTTGGAATGATGTCGTCTAAAATTTCTGTACTCTTTATGACCTGCCTCAATTGTATCTCCGGACAGTTGGCCTAAGGTCGGAGGTAAAGATTTCATGATGTCACCATATAGTAAAATAGCTTTTTGTGCTGTTTCGAAGCAATATTCTCAAGAGTCAGGTCTTCATCAAGCCACTTCATATGCTTCATGTTGAAGCGATCAAGCATGCAATTACTCTCCCTTCACTTTGACGAAACCTCAATGACAAATATTTTGACTAGAAGTTTTATTTGTTCTATACCCTGCTCGGAAACATTACCATATTCATCTAAAATATACTCTATCAACTCTTCATTACATTTTGATGATGATTTATGAAACTGCTCATTTTTCAATGCTTAAAATAATTATCTTCATTTGCTTCATTTGCTTCAAGGGGCGGTCACCATGAATTCCTGAAAAAGACAAAAACACTCCATTTACTGAAGGGGGAACAGAGGGACGAGTAATTTACATTTTCTCAAATTAATACGCTGGGAAATTTTTTTATATGTCTTGCTGAAGATAGCATTTCAATATTTTTTTAATAGAAAAATAGCATTTCACAAAACATATATTATACCTACACTACGTAAAACAATTATGTTAACAATGATTGTATATTGAAGTACACATTTGACGCTCGAATATCCATATCAAAATAAGTGAGATTTTAAGTGTAGGAAAAAAAACTGGGGTAGGTGATCCGTCAACAATTTAGGAGCCACTAGCCTGTATCAACGCGTGAAATATAACACAAATTTAGACCCATGCACGGGGTAAATCCTGTCGTCAATTGAGAATATATTTATGTTACGTTGCAGACTATTCAATAGAGATTGAATTGAAGGCATTTTCAACTGGTTTGAGAAAAATGGTTTTCCAAGTTTTGGCGTCATAATTTTGACATTTCTCCTTGTGTGCGGCGGTCGATGTCGATATTGGCTTTGCAAGTGGCCACCTTGGTGATCCCCGTTTATCTTTGATATCAATTTTTCATTAGTTCGGACTTTCATTGTTTGATAATATATAAAATTATTTGAAATCCCTAAAAGAACCAATACAAATTGAAAAGAATAGCTGAAAATAACAATTATATTTCATTTTTGTTAAGGGCGAAACACAAACACTACAAGAAAATCCTTAAGGCGCTCTTAGAACGATACCTGTGCGAAAGTAGTGATTCACATTGAATTTGAATCGCTGGAGATCAAATACATTTGGAAAAACGTTCTACGAAAGTTTATTCCATATAAACGCCGTTCTCCAAATGAAGGAGTTCCTAAACAGTGAAGTTTGAGGTGTACTGAGTTGAACCTCGAAACTATGAGCAGCCACAGTACGTTGAGTATTTCTGATATGTAACGCTCTTGGTGAAATCGAATGTTCCAGATCACTTGAACCCTTCCCGTGAAAGTATATATAGATGAGAGACACATCTCCAACCTTTCTTCGATGTTCCAGACTATCAAGGTTGCAAATGAGTTCGCGACTCTAATTATGTGGATAGCTCTTTTCTGGATAGATTCCAGCAGCTTCAGGTTATGTTTGGGAGCGGAGCCCCATACATGAGAACAATACTCCAAAGAAAGTTTGATCTGAGCTTCATAAAGCATCAAAAGTTACTGAGGTGTGTACAGTTTTCTGGTTCGGAACAGTGTTCCAAACTTCTGAGAAGCAGACTTTGCAATTCCAGCGACATGATTGACCCAAGACATTTCTGTATCTGTTCCACATGTGACCATTGTACATCCTCCCGAGAAGTTGTCCTCCTAGGTCATCGTCTATCCTGTCCTTTCCAGGAAGGTGAACAGGTCACTAGGAGGCATCTTCCTTATATTGGCAGGTGTAGGCCAAGACTCGCCGAACACACACTCTCGGTAGCCTCCGCAAAGGTTTTGGAAGGTGCAGTGATATTACTGTCGTTGCGCGATTTCTTCAACCTTCTTGGGGTTCCCTCCATGAAGGTGCACAAGTGAAGGAGCTTTCCTGCAAGGGCAGCCAGTTCCGTCCTGCGGCGGGCGCCAAGAGCTTCGCCGTAGGACGGAACTGGCCCTTGCTGTTGGAGGTGATCTGCTATGTCTAGCCTCATTCCAAACAGTAGATTGGGGTGGACACTTATGTTCATCCCCTTTCTCGTTTATTTTTGATATCACTGATAGCAAAGCGACTGGTATATACTCATTTGGAAGAGTTTTCTTACCCTTTCTGGGAATAGGCTGAACGCGAGCAATCTTCCAACAAGAAGGAAAAACCCCTTTCTCAAAAGACATATTGAATAGTCTGCAAAATACTGATGCGAGTTCATTTGCACACTTTTCATATACGATGACTGGCACTTCATAAGAATCATTGATATTGACCTGTTTCAAAATTCGCCAGACTAGACGCTGTCGAAAAGTAATTTCCGTCATTGTAGATTTTTGTGCGGGAATAGTGGGTTGTACTTTTTCCAGAAAATTGACTGTGGAGTGGGACGCAAATTGTTTGGCTAGTGGATTTGCTTTTGCTTTGGCTGTTGTTGCAGTCGAACCATCCGCTTGTGTTAGTTGTGGAATTGTGGATTTTGTAAAGTTTTGAATAACAGATTCAGCTACCGACCAGAAGGATCTAGACCCGTCGGGATTGGCAAGCAGTTTTGTGAAGTTCTTCGCTCTCTTTTGTTCTAAGTTGCAGCTGTTGTGGCAATTAACAAACCTAGTTCGGTTTTCGGCACTGAGATTTCTGCGCCACTGTCGGTAGGCGAGATTTTTGGAGGCGACAGCTTGCTCGCAATTTTTGTTGAACGAAGATGATGACATTCATTACTAATAATCGAAACGTCGTTAAGTAATCTCCGAATTTTCTATTATTATTTTTTGTTCAATTGATCTATTTTTTACTTGTATTTTATTCCACTGTTATTTCATTTCAGGATTTTTTGCTCAATTTAATTGTAACTTTCAGCTATTCTAAATTTTCATTGTATTGGTTCTTTTAGGGATTTCAAATCATTTTATATTTTATTAGACAATGGAAGTCCGAACTAATGAAACTCATCATAAAACATTGTCAATCACCTTCAAACAAAAGTTTAATATTCATGTGGATCCCATATATCGCCAATTCGTAAAGTGAAATGTCATCGTCTCTACATTGGAGTTGTAATTATTGTAATGAATTTTATGGAATTCGCGTTTGTAAATTTATAACATGGTAATTTCGAGTGAGATAGAATTTGGTTATCCTGACTTCTGAAACGTTCTTTATTTCATTTCATGGCCCTTTTATTTTTCACGAAGCCATAAATTTTGTGTGGCCCAGTGCCTTGATTCTTTCGAGAGAATCAGTCCGTCAGTTTTGAAAAACCAAATAAATTTAACCATATTTATCGAAATTACAGTGTTTTCGCGGATTTCTGTAGTGAATACCCTGTTTTTCAAAAATTGACAAATTCAACATGTTGTGAAATAATTGAAAATGCAGTTTTTCAACCGATTATTTGTATTATCTCAAATTAAATGTGAGTGCATGTGTCCATGCACGCAAACGTTCAGTCGAATTTCAGCCACTAAAATAATCTATCGCATGAGTGCTTTCAAAAATAATTGTTTGTCCAAGAGCTAGGCCATAACAAAAGTGCCCTCGATCGTTTTAAGCCAATTTAAATGAGGAGCGTCGGATTAAACTTATCAGGGGGATTATTTTGACGAACGTAATTGTACCAAACTGGCAGAAGAGCGGAATAAAAACCTTTTGAACTCGAATGAATGGCGGTCGTTTTGTTTGTTTTCTGCGAAAAAGTCGGCGAGTTCACAGATATTTTGAGGCGATAATCGCTGCTGCCCGTTTTGTGTGGTAAACGATCTCTCAATAGGAAAATTGTTTACTGAAAAGTTCGCGGTGTGAAATATACAGTTCGCTGAATGGGAAATGGTCAGATTGTTTTAGATGATAAATCCATCGATTGTTCGACTTTAGTCTCGAAATTTCGAAGATTAAAGTCGAAATTTTGAGATTTAAGTCAAAATTTCGAGATAAAAGTCGAAATTTCGACATTCAAATTCGTTATTTCCAAGAAACAAATAATAAAAATATGTGACCCTTCTGCGCTTCCGTAAAAAGGTCATCCTGTGTCTCCATGTTATGTTATTTTCAAAGTAGCAAGATACGAGTTATGTTTTGTGAGTTAAAAAAATAGTTTCGAAGGGTGTCACAAAATATTTTCTGCATAAAGTAATCCACAAAACTTAATAGGAGGTACAGGACCCAGAAAATCGTTTTCTACTAAAGTAACATTACCAGAATGAATAGAAACAGCTTTGCACAATTCGAATGTCTTGACGAGAACTATTTTGATGCTTCAAATTGAAGCATTACTAATGAAAAACGATACGTGAAATTATGTGAATAAGCCTACAGTCACAACTTGAAATCGCACTCTAGAAAAAATAAAAGACGAATGGAAAGCTGCAGACCGGAAAGCCAAATCTGATCTTATAGTTATTATTCAGTCAGTCAGTATTCTGAGTTGAAAGAGATAAAACATCATGAAACTTTGAGAAAAATCTGGTTTAAAGTTACATACATACCAGTCGACGGGTCCTTCATGTAAAGCTACTCTTTTGAAGTTAACAGTGCAGAAAATGGAAGAAGGCGATGATGTCCGCATGCAGTGGATGAGCTTGCAGAAATGGATGTTATTGTGAATGGAGGTCTTCACACCATCATGTTGTCATACAGTTTACCTTCAATATCTGAGAATTTCAGATGTGCTATCGAAACAAGAGATGAGTTGCCGAAGCCAAAGTTTGAAAATGAATATCATTGGAGAATCTAATGTACGAAAGTCAAAAATGAGTAAATCTTCAAATGCCATGTTGGCTTTAATGTTTCATCCGAATAATAACAATGAGAAAGAATATAATTTGAAAGAAAATAACGTCGAAAAACTTCCAATGACGACCACCTTCAAATTCAGATGTCACAAATGTCGAAAAATATGAAACAATGCTTCAGAATGGACAAAACTGTAAAAAAGTTATGAGAGTAGACTGAATTGATGGGTTGTACTACCTTAACGAAATACTTCCAGTCGTGATGCAGTTCAAAACTACGACGGCCTTCAAACCCGAATGAAGATAGTAACACTGATTACTCAAACAGTTTCCAATATCGAAGTACGGCATAGAAAATGTGACATTTGAATGGTGAAAGTCTCAGGGAAATGTCGAGTCGGGAAATAGTTCTGAGAATGAACCTGAAACAAAATGAGCAATTTGATAAATGTGAGATCTGTATTAAGGGAAGAACTCACGAAAGCACCGTCTCCCAAGAATGAATATTCCAGTGATTAATATGAACTGGATGTCATTCATGGTGACATCCGCAGATCCATGAAGGTTTTGTGACTTTCAATGATGAAACCTCCAGATCGTATGAAGTTAGATTATTGAAGGAAAAAAGTGACCTATTCCAGACCTTGAAAGATTTTAAAATCATTTTAGAAAATCAGAGTAATTAACGAGTAAAACAAATTCATTCTGACAATCGTTCTGAATACGTTAGTAATGCATTCAGCGATTTTCTGAAAGAAAATGGATTCAAAAGACCCGTACTGCCCCCAACATAATGGACTAGTGAAAAAATCGAACGCTACTGGAAATGGCAAGGTGTATGATGATAGAATCGACATCACTTGCGAGTTTTTGGGCTGAAGCGATAGCAACTGCCAATTATATTAGAAATAGAAGTATTTCAAGCAGCATTGAACATTGGATTATAAATCATATAAAAACAACAACGGTAAATTTGAAGCACGTTTACGTGAATGATCATATTTATCACTTTGTGCTAAAATTTTTCCAAGCTCATTTTGACATATTTGCGTATCATCGCGAATATCTGCAATTTGGTATTTTATTCTGTTCATCCTTTTTTCCAGTTTTGACGATTCTTGGTCTTCCCCTTCCTTTTCTTTGAATGATATTTTTTTCCGTTTACGGATTCCCAATATTCAACAAATCGACAGGAAGGTTTTGACATTTCGGAGGTTGTTGACTTACCTTTTCTATTTCTTCTGGGATAAATTCTTCGTTATGACTCTCAGAAAAAAAGTCATTTAGATATTCCACGTCATGAGTGACTTCAACTTTCCTTTCATTAACTAACCAAATTCGATGAGCTTTGGATACTTCTTAATGAAAGGAATAGCAAGGCAAAATCCTCCTCCATCTGTCACAGAGTCATGGAATATAATATTTATTGAAAATAGGTTAGACATGATTGTGCTAACACAAACAGTAGGATAGAAAGTGTTACAGTTACATTCAAAAAACATAAAAAAATTTGGCAGCAGGTCAAGCCTTCATTTATATCAAAAACATCGAAAACCGAAATGAAAGCATTTATTGGCCTTATGTACTTGTAAAGATTTTTCAAATCAGGTCACGAAGACCTCAAAAGAATGTGGGCGAGAAATTTTTCGCTGCAAGATGTATGTAGAAAAATTCTTATTTTTGTTGAGCTGCTTACCTTTTGATGATGAACAAACAAGAGGAGAGAGGAGAATGGTTAACAAATTTGAACCAGTTGCTGAGCTCTTTAACAAATTTGCGGAAATCTGTAAGAACAATTTTAACTTGGTATTTCATTTATATCATTATATTCAACTTAGAGTATCCAATCCAAGGGTAAGCCACAAGTCACGTAAAGTGGCTTCAAATATTTTTAAAATTGATATCGAACGTAGCTCCGTCACTCGCTTAAAAAAAATTACCTTTTTTAGCCTACTCTACCTACAAAAGATACGAATAAATGTAGTGATGTTCATTTTTTTGTAGTCTTATCGGTTACTGAGGCAGCACTATTGATATTATTCTAACTACGAAGGACGAGTAATAATGTGCCAAAAAGTTCTGAAATAGGTTCTAAATGTATTGTAGTTTATTATAATAACAATAAAATATTACTATATTTTATATTCTGAAGTATAGCAAAGAACCTACGATAACAAGAATTCAAATCATAAAATAACAATTGTCCACAAACTACAAACGATGGGGTTGATTGTAACTGAAATTTTTGTAGTTACCATTAAATACATTAAAAATGAATGAAATAAAATCGAGTATTTTTCAACTAAACTAACCTACCATAACCTATCCCAACCAACATATGTAACCTGAAATCTGAAGTAAAAACTAAAATATTTTAGAATACTTTATTTGGAAGAAAGCATTTACCCTCAACATCTAACCTGACTTTCGAATTCAAAAATTCGAAAGTCAGGTTAGATGTTTGTTAGATGAATTCGGAAGTTAGGTATTCTATAATACGTTAGTTTTTACTTAAGATTTCAGGTTACAGATGTTGGTTAGGATAGGTTATCTTAGGTTACTTTAGTTGAAAAATACTAGAATTTATTTCATTCATTTTTGATGAGTTTAATGGTAACTACAAACATCTAATTTCTGCTTCAATCAACCCCATCGTTTGTAGTTTGTGAACAATTGTTATTTTATGATTTAGAGTCTTGTTATCGTAGTTTTTTTTGCTATACTTCAAAAGAATATGAAATGAATTGATATTGTGTTGTTCCTACAATAAACTACAAACAATTTAGAATCTATTTCGAAACTTTTCAGCGCATTATATCAATATGAATAATATCAATAGTGCTTTCCCAGTAACCGATAAGACTACAAAAAAAATGAACATTACTACATTTATTAGTTTCGTTTTTAGGTAAAGTAGGCTATAAAAAGGGATATTTTTCAAAGCGGGTTTCAGCGTGACGGAGCTATCGAACGTCCCATTGAACCCTTAGAAGTTGTTTCGAAGTCCAAACGCAAAAGATTTTCATTATATCCTGCTAATGAAGATAGAAAAACAAACATAAATTGTGCGGTGTGTTAAAATCCCATATGCTTAACTTTTTGTTAACTTTTATATTTTTCTCAGCCTTTTTTTAACGGATCCCTAGGACCCAGTTGCATTACTTGCGTAACTTATACCTGTGAGTAGCAGTTACGAGTTAAACGATTTTATTGAAAAGAAAATAATGATATGAATAATGTCTTAAAAAAATAATAAAATACATTCAAATACAAAATAAAAACATTGGTAGTTGGACCAATCCACAAGTAGAATTTTTGGATCAATAGTTGGTAATTTCGAAATAATTATTGTTTTGATATTGGTATTGATGATTCAGGTAACATTTTATTTCAGATACCTATTACAGGTATCAAAAGCATACCGACTGTACATTGTATATTTGAGGATTTGTTTTTCAAAAATACGTCAGTTAACTTGGAAATGGTTCAACAAACCAAAACCGGTCTACCATAATAGAAATCAGACAAGAGCTATTTTGCTTATCCTTTATTCGATATGAATTTCTAAAAAATAAATAGATCATCAATCGAACAAGTTGAATCTAATGATATGTGAATTCATGAGTTCCGTAATTCGATCTGAAAATCTTAATGACTTCACGCTATCTCTATTACGCTATTTTCAAATGTTGATTTCTAATTATTCAAAATTTTCGAAGACAGCACAATAAAGATAAGCCTGGATATTCTCAATGGGGATGTTCCTCAATTTGGGTTATTACAGCAAATGCAAATTTGAACAAAATAAAGTGGAATTTAATTCATGAGTTTTTCAAATTCACTTCGAAAAGTATTCAAATTGATGTTTCAAATGTTGGGTTTTGATTTTTAAAGGATTTGTTTCTAATTCACATATTGGCAACAGCGCCTATATCAAGTTGAAATAATTTATACGTACCTAGATATTCTATTTAAAAAGGAAAATTATCTTTATAAATCAATAATGAAGGCAAAATATAAATTATAGTTCAATACCACCTCTACAAGCCACATAAACAACAGTTGTTTTATTTATTCATATAGAGGAAGATAGGTTAGGTGCACAAAATGTCATATGTCACAGAATGTCTCGGAACTCGGAACATAGTAAACAGAACAGCACGCCTCTGAAATATGTCATCTTTGTTTGTCTCACACAGGTAACAGATTCATTGTCCTTTATTAGCTATAACCGATGTTGCCAAATGGTGAAATAGAAATGAATCCCTTTAAATCAGTGGTCGCCAACCTGTCGATCGCGAGCTACCGGTAGCTCGCGGAGGCAATTCTGGTAGCTCTCACAACGATTTTAATTTAAAAAATACAAACTGCAAAAATCAGAGAAGCTTCCGAAAATTCCACAAAAAAATCTAATTGTCATAATATTAAACATAAACAGCGGCAACGTTGCGGTGAGCGATCTGCCGCTGACGCCATCAAGCTAGAATCGGCTAGAACCGACCAGCCGGACNACGTGCTTTTTTATTTTTCAATGTTTATGTTCATGATAGTGCGTTACTTTTTTGTTATTATTATTAACTATTTTTAAATCATACGTGACATGCTGTTGTGGCTGGATAAAAGTTTGTGTTTATTTTTCAAACACCTTCGTTTGATAGGTAGGAATGTAGCTATGAAAAAGTACGCACCAGTAATATTAGTTATTTTGTTATTAGTTTATTATAAATACCTATGTATTATGTTAAATAGTAAAATAAATACATATAATGATAAATTAACTGTGGATTATTTCATTTACGTTGCGTTACGTGACTTCCGTGTGGGTAGCTCGCTGTTTATTCCAAAATTAACAAAGTAGCTCAACACATTGAAGAGGTTGGCGACCACTGCTTTGAATGTTGAGTGCATTACTTCATTCCTCTTTTTTAGGTATTTAAATAATTTTTTAAAGAAAAAGGTTGAAATCATAAGTTTCAAATGCGTTGTTTTAAAGCTCTTTTATGAAAACTACTTGATTTTCGTCAGGAGGAACAATCCCCAGTGCCTTTACCGCCAACGGGGTGCCTTCCTCTCTTGTTCACATATCCTTAAAACACTTCCAGGCTGCAATTCACTATGTGGAAGTGTGCCGTGATATATTAACACCTCCTCCGACATATTGTAATGTAGGTCTTTAATATAATTCAATTGATGTTGCAGGCAGAGTGTACCAGATCGGCGATAGACTACCGCACGACACCGGCAATTGTTTAGAGTGCATCTGCGGTCAAGGGGCAAAAGTAACGTGTTCTCCACACCAATGCGCGCCTGCTGGAGATGAGATTAACGACTACCGTCTTCCCGGACCTCGACAGCCTGTTGTTCCGGACATATTTTAATGAAAACGTTTAACGCTACCTCTCTCCTATTCATTTGTAAATGGTCCAGTGGCAAAATTCCATGAATTCCTCGCGGTTAATATACGGGGCTTTTCGGTCCAATTGTATAAAGGTCGGAATTTAGTAGTTATGGAAGCGCAGAATTATTTTGATCAGTTTTTTGAAAATACTTGTTGAGTAGAAATTACGACTTGAAACTGAAAACTATGATTTCATTCCCGAAATTTTCACTATTCACACTAAACTCCCAGTATCAATTTAAATGTCGATATTTCGACTTCAAACCCATAATTTCGCATTCAAATTTGCATATAAATGATAAAAAATATATAATAGGAACCAAAACAATCCACCCCCGAATTCTATTCAAATATATTCTGTAGCCAAAAACAGTTGCAGATCCCAATTCACCGTTCAAGAATTGACGATGAAACATCAACTCCCTTTCTAAAACTCATTTTGTCATCTTGTAAATCATTTTCATCGTTCAAATAACCATTTTCAACAAAGGTCCAGTTATATAATTTCCCAAAATATTATCCCAGATATGGTTTTTTCATTTCATTCACTTACAGTATGCTATTAAATAACCTAATTCTGATATAAACTCGGTATTATCTCACTGTCTTTGTCTTTGCATCGTTAAAACTACTAATAGTATTTTTTTCCAAAATTAAAACTCCGTTGAAAACTTTAGAAAAGTCAAATGTAGTATATGAAATTCCTTGTCATACATGTGACAAAACATATATTGGAAAAACATCTAGAATTTTATCTGGACAATTAACGTCACATTAAAGTGATTATAACACAAACAAAGCCACCTGTGCAGATGCAGAGCATGTCATCAGCACTAAACACACAATGAACTACACCGAAGTTAAAGTTTTGTGTACTGAAAGCAACTTACAAAAACGGTTGTTTAAAGAAATGTTCTTCATCAAAAGAAATACCGATAACATGAACAAAAAGACTGAGCTCAACAACCTCAGCAATATTTACAATTACATCTTAAAATTGGAACTAATTCCTCCAGGTTCCCCAAGCAACAGATAATAATAGGTTTGTTCTGGTTCAAATATCCGAAACTGTTTGGAAACTGCGCAAGACATGATGTGTACAAACAAAAAATCTCAAACAGTCCGAAATAGTCTCCGACATCACTTGTTCAAACCAGAACGCTTTTGAGGAGACCACTGTGCCACCTATCGTATATATGAAGAGATGAAGACGAAAAAATACTATTGACCATGTTCATTTTGTTATGTAACGTATCCTTATGATCAATTCAGATGTTATCTACCGTCAATCATCAATTATTCGTATCAAATGAATAAATAAACATCCTAGCGAATAGCCCAAACAAATTTCCACATGAATGCGCATGAGCAACGGGAACAGTTCTCAACATTTCAGCCTCGAGAGCAAGAACGATTCGGGATGGTTCAAAACAGTGTAGTATAATTTCGCAGTCGAAACAAGAACAGAGGATTCATCAGTCCGAAATCATCCTCAATAAACCAGAACGCTCTATATCAACTGCGCATGATCCTGACGTTCTAGAACCCAAATTTCGTAGAACCAGAACAAACCTAGTGTTTGGTTTGGGCGCAGTGCTGAGTCTGTCAAAAAAAACTATTTACTGCAGTTGTGAGTGTTTGGCAGCACTATACCCAGAGTCAGATACTTTTGATTTTGTTTGTGTCAGCCATAGGTTGGGTGTGCCTTTTGGTAATCCTGTTGTTGTTTATTTCTGTCAAATCATCAAACTTCAAATGTCTTTTCAGAATGTCAATTATCAAAACTCAAATATTTCCTCTTTCTTTTTGGTTGCTACCACGCTACCGAGTAAGTGCCAAGCATGGCCAGTGAAATAATTTTAAATGTTTAAATGAAATGAGTTTTTTGTACTTTTTCTCTGAAACTTTAAATTGAATGTGTGACAGTTTTCTACATGATGAAAAGTATTAACTTTGTTTTTCTTATTGCCACGTCTGACTTTTCACTATAACCTCAAGTTAGTAAGTACATTTTTCACCTATTTGTTTTACAATTTTGTTGCAATGTTTAAAATTTCTTGTAGATGCCTTGATACAGGGAATAAACATTATCAAAAGCTCGACCATATGACAAAGAGTATTCTTTAAAAAACATCCCAGTAATTTGACTGCATCCACAACAACATTCCATATTTCTCCTTAGCTATTCACTCAAGACTACTCTCCTTCCACAATCTAAAAAAATTAAAGCTAAATCAATAGAGATTCTTCTAGTGTAGTGAAGGGCAAACTGAAAAGTTCGCCAAGAACTTACTTATTACTGCGTAATATATACTACTGAATAGTCCAATCAGTCAGTAACTTGTCATATTCATAAATTTTGCTTACGAATTGAAAAAACCAATCGAAAAAAATAATTATTGATACTTAGCTTCCTTAAGTAGCTGTCGTTTAGGAAAACAATCCTTTTTCGTTTTCGAAGCCTAGAACTCACTAGAAAAATCTCACCCCAAACTGTGATAGACTACAGAAAAATATGTCGCAATAATAGCTTCCAAACTGAGAAAAAAATAAACATCAGTAAAAATTTCAAAACAAATTTCAAAATAATGAATCATATGAAAATCAAAATCAGACAAACCTAAGGAAAAATATTAGTTTTCTATCTTTTCATTCACAGAATATAAACGTTTCATCAAAATGTGTTTTTGCGGTAATCATCAATCATCAATTCACCATTACTACTTTTCAAATTTTGGATAGTGTGGTTTTCAGATGATCGAAAACATAAAATCAAGTACGCCAAAGCGGATATCATATATAGGAAAGAACACTACTTTGAACGGGATTTCAAAGAAGCAGCTTAGTTGTCATTGAAATTCAATACGTGTGGAAATCCTTGATTGAACGGGCCTGTATTCACTGGATTACTGAATTGAAAAACCTTCCGATAGAAAACAGTCTCGCATCATCAAAATGTATCTGAATGAAAAAAACTTCCATCGGCGAAAGAAAAATTACTTTTTGTCTTTTTGGCTAGATATTCTATGCCAAATATTTAATCGGTGATTCAAACCCATTTCATGTGGTAGAGCAGAATTTTTAGGATTGTTTCATAAATAATTTATTTCCTTTTCAGCTCGTGATAACTTGTTTTCTTCAATAAATAACTTTTGGCTTCTATTTTTCAGTGTTTAAGTTCTCATTTGATGTTCTGATTATCAATTTTTCTTCAGTATCTTCCAAATATATTATTCTTGTAGTTTTTCAATTTATCTTATCTCCTCTTAAGTTTCGAAAGTCCTAATCAATTTGAGTTATTTGAATACAATCGATCTTTCAATGAAGAAATATTTCCATTTTATTATAATTTTCAATAAAACGGTTGATGTTTGCATTTAAGACTTTGGTAAATTTTACAAATACTTAATAAAAGACATTTTGCTGCTGGACCAAATTGAAACCTGCAAGTTTCCAAAATATTCATTTCCAACATATACAGTGTAATTCATGAGTTGAAGTTTAATGGGTTGGAAAAATAAGGATGAGCAGGGTAAAGGGAGTATAAACCAATAATTATAACCAGGCGTGGTATAACGAAATCGTGTTGTTTCTGATATTTCAGAGATTTGCAGTTTTACCTAATCATTTTTGTTGATACTGTCTGTGATTCTAGAATCTTATATTCGAGCCACAGATCATATCATGAATAACCAGTTAGTTTTAACGCTGAAGCTAGGATATAATCTGATTCAGTTGTAATCTGAAGCATACGTACAGAACGAAATGTCTGCATCTGTAACACATATGTAGTAATTAATGCATTACACGGAACGTTTATAATTGAATCAAGCAAACTCGATTCGTCATGTTCACAATTGAATGAATTATTCAAATTCGAAATTATACATGAAAATTCGGATTACGAAACATTATGTAGGGACCGTAGAACCTCTATGTCTGTTATATTCATACATCATCACCATGTCATGAATCCGTAGTCGTTGAATCAGGAAAAACAATAAATTGAATCATTAATCATCAATAACATCATCTGAATGTAGATTACGAATTGAGGAGAAAATGAAAGAGAATTTTGCGATAATTTCCATAATTTTCAATTCAAATGTATTTGGCAAATGTGAACTTCCGCACTCCAGTTTAATTTCTCAAATGAATGGTGTAGTTTTTTAATAGACATCCTACCCATACTACAAGAGTAACAATTTAGGCAGCTCAATCCTAAATAATAATCACTGGGACTTTCATATTTTCAGAATAATCAGCTTGGCATTTGAAATCTTTGCAATAATTTCAAAATCTGAAATATGCAAGGCTAACAATAACTTCCCCAAATGTTCTCTATTTTAGTGAAACTAGTTGGATTGCGTAATTAATTATTTCTCATCATTGAATCAATCGGAATTTATTTATTTCTTTATTTATTCAACAGCGAAGCCAATTTACAAAAACATATTTAACAAAGTGTGAGGAACTAAAAAGTATTTTTGAATGATCATGTCTGATATCTACATTACAATTTCACAAAGCATTTAGCGAAGTGTGAAATACAAAATATTAATAAATCCTTATGTCTAGTGACTACATTACTAAAAGATGAAACAATTCTGGTACTTACAAGAAAAAAGATGTAACAAATCTGGCACTTACAAAGAAAATGGTAAGGTAAAGAAAAGCTTCGAAAACGCTATAGCCTTTTCAATTGATTTTTAAATACCTGAAGTGA